CATCTGGGAATGCATAAACTGTGTGTTGATAAAGAAGAGTCGAAGCGCCTAATGGAGGCCATCCACGGAGGAGAGTGCAGATCGCACATGAGCGGAGTGATGCTAGCTCGGAAGATTCTCAGACAGGGTTACTACTGGTCAACCATGGAGGAGGATTGTATGGTTTTTGTTCGGCGATGCCACAAATGCCAAATCCATGCAAATCGCATGAACATCCCGCCATCGAAGCTATACAACATGACTTCACCGTGGCCGTTTTCAGCCTGGGGAATTGATGTTATTAGGGCAGTTACTCTGAAGGGTCAAACAGGCATGAGTACATCCTGGTAGCGACAAACTACTTTACAAAGTGGGTCAAGGCCCAATCTTACGTAGTGCTGAAAGCGTCGCATGTAGCGAAGTTCATCGGGAATAACATCATTTGTCGCTATGGGGTTCTGAATGAGATTATTTCAGACAATGGTTCCAACTTCAAGAAGGAAGTGATCGACTTGTTGGAGAAATACAACATGGCTTTTCATAAGTCATCTATATATCGGCCGCAAACCAACGGAGCTGTTGAGGCCGCCAACAAGAACATCAAGCACATTCTATAGAAGATGGTGGAAACCTACAGGGACTGGCCAGATAAGCTACCATTTGCTCTTTGGGGCTACAGAACATCAATTCAAACTTCTACTTGGGAAACTCCGTATTCTCTGGTTTATGGGATGGAGGTTGTTCTGTCGATTAAAGTTGAGGTTCCGTCATCGCGAGTTATGGCTGAGTGCCAGATGACGGAAGCAGATTGGCAGCAGAGCAGGTTTGAGGAACTAATGTTGTTCGACGAGAGGAGGCTGAAAGCACTGTACCATGTCCAAGGTTATCAAAGAAAGATTGTCAGGGCTTTCAACAAGAAAGTTAAGTCCAAGAATCTAAAAGAAGGGGATTTGGTGCTCAAGGACAACCGAGCTCCCATCCATGACCCTAGGGGCAAGTTCATACCTAATTGGACTGGTCCTTACATCATCAAATCAATTTGGTCGAGTGGAGCTGTCATTCTTATGGACCTAGATGGCCTTGAATTCTCCCAACCAATCAACATGGACAAGTTGAAGAAATACTACCCTTGAGAGGCTCGCTAGGCCGAAAACCCGAAAGGGCGACCTAGGCAAAAGTTAGAGCACAAAAAATTTGAAATAAGAAAAACTGAGCTCGCAAGGTTGAAAACCCAGAAAGGGCGGCCTTGGCAAAAGTTAAAGCGCAAAAGCAGAGTGTTAATACCCGAGTGAACCCGCACTGAACTACGTAAGGCTTGATTTCCATCTTAGGATACGTAGGCAACTTCATTCTGAAGTCCAGCCATAAACACCTCCAAATCAACTGTGGCCATATGATTGTTTTGGTCATCTTTGTCCTTTTCTACATCCAAGAGTTCGGTTGTGGTCTCTAGTGCAGTGCTATTCAAACAAGGGGCAACTTTCCAGTTATTGGATTTGGGGTTGTACATCTCAGCGATAGATTCCGGGTGTGTCCAGTTGTGATACTTATCGAAAATGGTTTTGAAAAGTTTTAATTAAAGTTGATTTTGTTCAAATTAATCTTTTTACAACTTAGACCATTTTTGGACTAGAAGGAAAATTTTCAGTACCCACAACCTTCAATTTCATTGATTTCAATACAGAGTTTTCTGACTCTTGATACAAATTGAAGTTGCTTTTTATTACATTCAAAAGGAAAACTTGAAAATACAGATTAAAGCAATAAACTTGGGACATAGTTGAGTCAAGAGTTCCTGCACCCCCTCCCAGAGCTTATGGAAGCTTCAGATGTTAAAGTAGGCCCGGTTTGTGCCTCATCTTCACGCCAAGCTATGCATTCACCAGAAAGGGGCACAACTGAAATTGGGAGCGGGGGCCAGAAGTTCTCTTGTCCTTCATGCAGTGGTATATTGAGCTAGCTGTGAGCCTCGGATCAGAAATGAAGCTGGGTACTCTATCCCCTCTTTTGGGCAAGTCTGGTCGTGTCCGAACTGACGCTAGAACCGAAATGGAAACTAGAAGACACAGTGTGTCAAACCAATCAACTGAATGCTAGGCTGCCGGGACATGCTGTAGCTCATCTCAGGTAGATCAAACCAGGGCAACGCTAACTAATGTCAACAGCAGACCTGTTGCACATCCATTGGTACCACCACCCCTCGTTCGGGAAATCAACTAGCCGTGGGTGAAAGAAATAGCCGCACGCTGAATATGCAGGACAAGAGTCCACTACTTTCAACCTGTCCATGAGCCAAACCTGGGGAGGGATGAAAAATAAGAGAGATTAAAGAATAGAGATGTGTACGTGGAGAGAAAAAGTGAGAAAGGATTTTGAGAGAAAAACAGAGCCTGAGGGCTGAGTCATGTGAGAAACACATGTGAGAAAGGTGGGAAACATTACCTGCAAGAGTAGTGGACTTCCTGCGAACCTAGTCCTCTCCCGGCGATGGAAAACACCCAAGCCCATCAAAGTTTCGGCTAATGTCAAGCCAATGCAGCTCTTGCCCTCTTTCAAGCCTTGGGAAACTTCTATCAAGCGAATGCTAGACCCTCCAAAGCCAGGGGCAAGCAGAAAATGAGCCAACATGCACAACCAGAGGGCATGTTACCGAAAACCTTACCAAAGACAGTCGCCGCTGTGATATCCATGTTCCGTAATATGTTAATTGGTCCTTAACATGAATATGATTATGTGTTTAATATGATTTTGTGTGCCATTATGTGAAAATATGTGGTTTTGAATTTCTATCTGTTCACCATAGGAATATCTGTTTGATTATTTGCTTTGGAAATTAATTGAAGGCCTTATCGGCCACAGAACCCGAAATCGATTACGCCATTGTGATTAGCGTAATTTTTAGAGCCTACGGTGAAATTTAATTGAAAATTGATTCGGATCAGATTAATTGGATTAATTTATTGAATTAGTACCCAATTATTTATTATTATTAAATTGGTGCTAGTGGGAACTTATGTAAAGAGGCACTATACACTTAATTGGTACACTTGAGCCCAAAAATCTGATTTTGTGCCTTGAGAGAGAGAAGGCCGGCTATAGAGAGAGAAAGGGAGAGAATTGTGTAATCTTGGCTCAAGGCTTGGGAATTTGAAGATTAAACTCAAGAATTGGCTAGAGTTTGGGGGTTTGAAGCTCCTAGGTAAGTGAATTCATGAATTTTAAGTTATCATCTTGTGAATCCAAGTTTGATTAATGGTCAAGAACATGAGTTTAATTGAGTATGATGAAATTGAGTTGGTTTTGTTGAATTGAAGGTCAATGTATGCATGCATGTGTGTAATTGCTTTGAAATTGCATGTGTAGACACCCCATTTTTGACCTTCCTCAAGACTTGGACGTCATCGTTTGAACACTCGATGATCATCCATGTTCATGTTCGTCTTGAGTTCTCGGAGGTTTCGGTCGTGCGCCTGTAGACGCACCCACGTGGGGCCCTCGCTACTACAGTTCGGACTCGATTTGTTGTCACGGTTCTTAATCTTGAACCAAAGAGTCCAAATCTGGCAAATCGTTTCGAGAAACAGATTTTTTTGAAAAGAAGTGCCAAACATGGGCTGCTTTGCCAGATACAGAGTCGCCACCTAAATATTTTAAAATGGGGAAATTTAGGAAACCCTGACTCGGTGCCGAAGGCCACATGTCCGTCATCACCGGAGTTGTCTCGGCTCGGGAGCTAGGGTATGATTGGGGAAGGTCAGCTATGAGCACCCCCTCTCGCCCGGTCCGAAGACCGGCCTCTACTAATCATGATATCCGTTTTTGAAAACTTTATGTGTTCTTATTCCGGTTATTAGCCTAGAATTACTATGTTATGCGCACAACAAACAAGTATAGACTAGATTGCCTAATTTGGAAACAAGCATTGCATATCCGTTTGTTTTTGAAAAACGTTTTTGGAATTTGCTACTCGCGAGTAGGCTAAAACACGAATTTTAATGAGTTTTTCCAACTCAAACAATCTAACCTTCACCCACAGGCATTCAAACAATTTATCACATAAGCATTTAGTCGCATGGCAAGCATACTGTCATGGCAACACTCACATGCATGCGGGATGCTAAAGCATAACTACTTACATCGTACTCCGTGCCCAAAACAATAGACTAGTTAGCAAACATGCGTGTCCTAGTCCATGTTAAGAATGGCTAATGCATCGCATGCAAGATGCAATTAGAGTAGGCTCGGCTAACCTAAATATGGCATGTGAAATGCAACCAATTGATTCATGTATTCAATTTGGAATTTAAAATACAAATGCAGTTAGCGTGATGTACCGAGCCTAATGCATGCAGTACAAATGCATGAATGCACGCATGCATAGCATAAGGTATGCTAATTTCAAAAATGCCCTAATCTACCATCATAAGCAGGTAAATAAAAGGGAAGAAAGAAGTGGGGATTGGAAGACATACACACACTCACCCACACTTATTACAGATTTGCCCTCGTTCGGAGGACACAAATAAATATTACAGTCCAAATAATAAGCAAATAAAAATTATTACAGAATTTCTAATATACTTAATGGGAAGAATACAAAAAGAAAGGAAAGGGATGGCCGCAGCCTCTGCCTCGGGATACGCGAATGATGCATGCTCGAAACCCGGCTCGCCTGAAAAACCCGTACCACATCACTGCCACCTCTGTTTATACTGCCCTGCTTCTCTGAAAATTTCCAAAGCCCTAGGACAGGTTCCTTGCATGCTGCAGAGTACCACCGGCTAGGGGAAATTCCCACCGGACCGGTGGATCTATGAGTTAAAATTTTTTCTTAATAGATTTGCAAAATATGTTTATGTTAGTGAAATTTTGTGTATATATTTGTTTGGGTTAGTGAAATTTTGTGCTGAAGTACCACACTCAACATTGTTTTGTTCTTGCATATGGTTTGTAAAAGTTCAACAAAATCATGTGTCTTTGAGCTAAATTGCTTTCCAAAAGAAGTCAGGAATATGTAACTAATTTATGTAGCTTGTTATATTCTTCTATCAGATGCACTCATGGGGCGGAGGATCCAAACTGTTAAATCCAAACAAATCTGCAAAGTGTATTACCCTTCTACATGGGAAGTTATACAGTGGATGCCAGGATAATAGCATTCAGGTATCAAAATTTTATCTACATCCGTTACCTCAGTTCATGTTCTTTCTTTTTCTTTTTTGCGTGTTAATTTTTAAAATTTAACTTTCTTGAGCTTCCAGGAGATTGATTTAGCCACCGGAACACTTAATACAATTCAAAGTGGCTCGAGGAAATTACTGGGGAAAGCAAATCCCATCCACGCATTGAACATTCGTGATGGGTTGCTATATTCGGCTAGCTCTTCCTTGAATGGAGCAGCTGTAAAGGTACTGTTTATCTTAAAAACATAAAAACAAAAACGGATTAGATACAAAATTCTGTAACCTCCCAAAGAACAAATTCTAAAGCTAACTGAGAAGTAGAATGTTTTCACAGCAGCACGTACATAAAACTTCAAACTGATCTCTTTCATAACTTTTTTCGTTTTTATGACTAATAATATTTGCTTTTTTACGTGGCAAAAGATATGGAATGCTTCAAATTACAGTATGGTTGGATCACTACCATTGACATTGGAGGTGAGGGCCATGGCGGTAAGCTCAGAGCTGATATATTTAGGCTGCAAGGGAGGGACGGTGGAAGTTTGGTGTAGAAAGAAGCATAATAGAGTAGATATGCTACAAACCGGTTCGAATGGTAGAGTTCTTTGCATGGCCCTTGATGCCGATGAAGAAGTCTTGGTTATCGGAACATCTGATGGTAAAATTCAGGTAAAATGTTCCTTTCATCTCAATATTCCTAGCGGAAAATATTATGTAAAAGACACTGTTTCAACATCGGCTGGTTTAGCAATTGGTTTTTTGTTGACTTTTTCCGTTTTTAGTCAACTTTTCAAAAACATTTCCAAAATACATTTCACTTTTAAGTCCTACTAGACTAGAAGACCCTAAATATTAAAAAGAAGAAATTTTGAAAAAATCCATCACATTTCTTGTCTTTAGTGTTTTTTTTTTTTTTTTTGGGGGGGGATTTAATGAAGATAAAGTCCTTTCCATGCTTGCTCTGAATAGCTTCGTACATGATCCTGGTGGGTAAACAATTTATGGAATTAAGTAAAAAAAATTCTCCAAAATTTTAGTGTCAGATAGTTGAATATATTCATATAGAAATACTAATGGAAGTCTATTGGATTGAATAATTTTTCCCTTGCATTAAAGGGATGGTGTTTTGACAACTATTTGAATTAAGATCATACCTGTTTCTTTCATGCCATTTGAAGCAACAATACCATTTGTTAGCAGAGTCATTAAAGTTGTGTTGTGTAGGGATTTGTGGAGGGAAAGTAAATGGGAAGGGAAAAGTAACAAAAATTTAAGCTAAATGTTTGTCATTTTTCCGTTCTCATTTATTTTTTTCTCTACAAATCCTTAAACAAATCCATGATTCAAACACATCCTTAAGGAAACAACCATTCTGAAACTTGAGTTATCTCCAAAAAGGAAAATGATTGTAGAAATGGTGGGGGTGAGGGTGCTCATTATCATTTATTGTCATGGGATCAGATCTGTGTACCTAAGGAGAGAGGGGGCTTGGGGGTTCGGAGGTTGGTCTTGTTCAATTTGGCCTTGTTGGGGAAGTGGTTGTGGCATTTTGTGGAGGAGAGGGAGCGACTTTGGAGGAGGGTGGCGGTTGCTAAGTTTGGTGTGGAAGGGAGGAGTGGTGTTTGGGAAAGGTGGGTCATTCTCATGGTTGTGGCTTGTGAAAAGGGATTGAGTTGGGTCGGGAGGTGTTTTGGAGGAGGGTGAGGTTGAATGTTGGTGTGAGGGATAGAGTTCGTTTTTGGCAGGATAGGTGGTGTGCTGACTTGTCTTTAGAGTTTCATTTCCTTTTGATCTTCGCTATTGCTGCTGATTGTGAGGTGTTGGTGGGTGTTGTGAGGGTTGGGGAGGGGCAATCTTTGGTGTGGAATGTGCAGTTGCGTCGCAATGTCTAGGATTGGAAGCAAGATCAGTTGGTGAAACTTCTGGGTTTTTTATATGGTTTGCATCTTGGAAGGGTAGGTCAGGATTTTGTGGTTTGGGATTGTCCTAGATCCAAAGGTATTTTTACTGTGTCTTCATTCTAAGGGACGCTTGTTCAGGATATGTATGCACATGATGTCGCTATGGTTTATCTGTGGAAAGGTGTTTGGGTGCCGAGCTCACCATCCAAAGTTGCCTTTTTTGTTTGGACAGCGAGTTTGGGCGGTATCTTGACTATTGATAATTTGATTCGTCATGGGCATATTTTTGTGAATTGGTGTTGTCTGTGCGGTAGGGCATCGGAATTAGTTGACCATTTGCTTATTCATTGTCCGGTCTCTTCTCGTCTTTGGATGCTTGTGGTTACAGTTTTTGGTTTAGTTTGGGTTCAACCGGGTTTTGTGTTTGCCGTTGTGCAAAGTTGGGTAGGGGGAGGGTTGGGAGGAGGCGTCAAAAGGTTTGGCTTCTTGCTTCGCACTGTTTGATGTGGTTGATTTGGTTGGAGCGTAATAGGCGGGTGTTTCAAGGGGTGGCTCACTCCATTCCTTGGTTAGAGAGGTGGCTTCCTACAGTTTTGTATAGTTGGGTGACATGTTTAGTAGATCTGAATGTATTGGCTTTTTTAGATTTTGTGGAGAATTTGATTTGTTAGTTTGGTTAGGGGATTTTGAAGCCATTTTTGTATTCTTTGCATCATCTTGATGCTTTTTTAATAAAGTCTAGTTATTTATCCAAACAAAAAAAAGAAAAGAAAAAGATTGTAGAAATGGGCTAAAATGTCGATTAGCAAAAACAGAATGTACCAAAAAAGTAGAGGTTCATTAGAAGAAAAGTAGAAATGAGAAAAAGGAAAAGGTTATGTCCTCAGTGTTCTAGACAGTGAAGGTGATATCTGCGTAATTTTTTATTGGGTTAATTAAACTTTCCTTCTTTAACTATCATTTGAATATCACCTCACCCCCTCAACTTTAAAACTGAATATTTGAGCCCCTCAACTATCAAAAACTTTTTGGAGGAGTGATGTTATTTCAATATCTTATTTGAATACATGTTTAATCGCATGTTGTCCATGGAAACACATTTTTTGTGTTTTCATTTTTTGGCCAAATTTATAAACTGAGACAACTGATTTATAAATCAAAAATTTTACCAAACAAGTTTTTATTTGAGTTTTTAAAATTTTTGTAAATATAAACAGAAAACTGAAAACATAAGTGTTACCAAACGGCACCTAAACAGTCAAGTTCGGAGATCCTGAGGCAAGGCGCGCAGCCGAGACCTCCGGGAACTCCAAACGAACACAAACATGGATAATCACCGAGTGTTCAAACGGTGATGTCCAAGTCTTGAGGACGGTCAAAAATGGGGTGTCTACAGCGCCTTGCCTCAAGACCTCTCGACTTGTATGTTTTGTGCTTGGTTGTACACCAAACACTTGTGTTTTTGCTTCTGATGAAAAGGAATGGCTTGTTGGCCATCCCCACACCTCACCGGCCTTGGCTTGAGGCCACTGGCCTTGTTTTCTTTCTACTGACCAAATATTTTGGCCTATCGGCAATGTTTTTGGTCGGCCGGCCATTTTTGTTGGTCAATCAGCCATATTTTCCAGCCGTCCCCTGTTCATCTACCTTATGCAGATATTTAGTGCCAGCTGGCACGCACAATTCCCCCCTCCATACACGTGTATGGAGGGATTTGTCTCTTGCTTAGCTTGTTTTGGAAGCTTTGCAAGATTGGAATTCTATAAAGAGGGAGCTTCTCCTCCCTCCTCAAGGGTTCCAAAGTTCCAGAATTAGGGTTAGAGGATTTTGTATCTATCGATCTCTATATTTCCCTCTCTTTGCCTTTGAGTGTGTGTAATAGTGTTCTAAAGGTGATTTTGTTCTTAGTTTTGCACTAAGACACCTAGTGTTACACCATACCTTGGAGTTGAGGTCCCTTGAGGCTGATCTTGGGGTTCTGGGGTTGATTTAAACTCAAAAAAAGTGCTGGAGTGTTGTTCTTGAAGAAGGTCTACAAGGGTGAGAAACTTGCCCTTTTATTCCCCATTTTTGCACAAGCTTTTAGCCTATCTTGCATCTATTTTTAAGCTTAAATTATAACTGATTAAAGTTCTATTTTTAAGTGTTTAAAATAGTTGCTTAAGATCACTTTAGTGTTTGGGTTTGTTTACCCCCTCTTAGGTCTTGTTTGGCCTCATTTTTGTGCCTTTTTTGTGAGCTCTGGGACCACCTTGTATTGGCCTTCTCACCACTCCTTGTTGTCTTCAATACTTGTCATATTTGCCTCATGTGTGAGCACCTTGTTTAAGTTCATGTTGGCCATGTCTTAGTTGATATTTGGTGTTATTTTGCCATGATTTACCTCTGTCCAAAGTTGGTTTAGACGTGCCATACATGCTATGTATACTTGTCTTGTAATCCCTCGATTTTGCCTTAACATGCACCTAGCATTTAGACCACTATGCTTACTTGTTTTGGCCTAACTCCATGAAGCTTTTGGTCTTCTCTTGCCATGCTAAAGGTCTGATTTTGGTTGTTTGGGTCATCCATGACTTGCTTTGTATAGCTACCATGCAACCTAGCTTGTATGCTTTGAGTGTTGGCTCCTTTACCATGTTCTATTTACATCATTTCGGTGGTTTGGCACTATTAGTTATGATATTTCAGTCCTTGTTTCATGCTCACATGCTTGCATCTTATCACTCCTTTAATGCTTTAAAAGATTGGTGTTTTATGCTCCATGATTGAATCATTGTGCATGCCTTTAGACTTATGCCATTTAGATGCCATCTAAGTGGGTTTTTGGTCTTAATTAGACCTGCCTTGGGACTGTTTTAGGTCCCCATGGCCCTTTGGGGTTTGCTTCATATAGTCTTGGTTCGAGTCCCATGGCTAGTTTCCAAATCTTAGGCTTGGTTGCATGCTTTGCTTGATTTGTTTAGTTGGTTTGGCACCATTTCTAACTTAATTTCAGAGCTTACAATGCTTGTCATTTGTCCATATTACTCTCTTTTAAATATGTTTAAAAGTTGCCTCTTTTATGCCTTAGATGATAGGCCTTTGTGCATGCATCCTTGCATGTCTATTCCATGCTTTTGTTGCATCATATTGGCCGCTGATTTGGACCTATTTGAGAGCTGTCCATATTGGTTTAAGACCATCCTCGCATGTTGTTGCATGCATGTCTTGCATGTTGTCGCATGGTTGCTCCATTTTGCCTTTTGTTGCATGCCATGTATGGTTGCATTGTTTAGGTCATAAGCTTATTGACATGTTGTAGCATGTTAGTTCAAATGTACCTTGTTGTATACTTGGCCCATGGCATGTTGTTGCATGCTTAAGTTGTGATGCATTTGGCATGCATTCTTCCTTTTGTTTTGGTCACTTAACATGTTGTCCATGTTGCATATTTGCATGCATTGTCCCTAACATGTTGTCCATGTTGCATCTTGCATGCTTAAGTTGCAATTTGTATGCTTGTTAGCTTGCATCTTGTCATATGCTTGATATGTTGTCACATATTATTGCATGCTTGTCTAGGTTACATTGTATTTGGCATGCTTGTCGCCTTAACATGATCATGTTGCATTAGTCTTGCTTGCATGCATGCATCTCTTGCCTCTTGAATAACGTGATAGAGGTTGGAGGCCTCTTATTTGTCTTGTGTGCATTTCATTTGACATTGAAATTGCACACTTGGCCTCTTTGGCCATCATGCATCGAAACGCGTGATTGGTGGCCTAAGGACTGAGAGCCATGCTCCCTTGAGTTCATTGCATGATGGGGAGATTGGCTATGCACACATTGCCTTGAAAATACCTTGCCATGCACTGTCTGTCCTCTGCTGCAGCAAAACCAGTGTTTTGCAGGAAGAAATGGCCGGTCGGCAACTTTCATTGCTGGCCGACTACAAAGGTCTAGCCGGTGGTTCCACTTATAGCCGATGACCATTTTCCAATGGCCGGTGGCCTTTCCTTTTGGCCGG